GCATGAGTCCTTGCGAGCTATCGTGCAGCATTGTTCCCTTTCAGTCGAAATAATGACACTTGATAATTTTCAATGACAACATATTTCAATACAGAACATGGAAGCATCAACTAACATACAATACTATTGAATATGAGCCAGTCAGCAACCAGTGATACTAGAGGCGATAATCCCCGTTCAATAAGCATGCATTACATACAATATATGTCAAGTATGTATGCTTCATTCGGGCTCGTGTGCTCTCCTTTTGACGTGCGAGCCTGGCCACTCATTGACAATGGTAATGGTTTTACACGGTAAAATAAGAGGGGCTTCATGGCCGACAATTTTTACTGGGCCCAGAAAAAACCCCGCGCTGGATGGAGAGAATCTGTAGTAAATAGGATATCAACTCCATAACTCCACCGATAAGAGGGTGATAATTGAGGAGAACAATCAAACTCCACATCATCTCTTCAGAGTCATAGAAACCACAGAAGAGTCTAAAGGTTCACCCCGTATCCCTCAAGCTCGTCAACCATGGGCAAGAAGAACAAGAAGTCCGCCGAGCACAAGGAGCGTGTAGCAGCGAAACAGAATAAGAAGGCTGCTCAAAAGGAGAAGAAGGGCAAGGGCAAGGGCAAGGACGCCGACAGTGATGTCGAGGATGCTGATTTGGACGCCATCCTTGCGCAGTATGCTGAGGAACAAGCGAAGTTCATGAAGGTCACTGAGGTAGTGGGAGGACCGCCGACACCACGGTCGTCTGCAACTGTTCTGGCTTCTCCTTCCAATCGCAACGAATTGTTGGTATTTGGTGGAGAATACTTTGATGGAAATCTTGCTACTTTTTTCAACAACCTCTTCGTTTACAATATCGATCGTGCGGAGTGGAAAGAAGTCACCAGTCCTAATAGTCCGCTCCCTCGCAGTGGACATGCTTGGTGCCGTGGTGGCAATACGGGAGGTGTCTATCTGTTCGGTGGTAAGTATATGACTCAGAAGCAGCATATCAAGTCCTTAGAGTACTGATGTCTGCAATAGGAGAGTTCTCTTCGCCCAAGCAGGGTACCTTCTATCACTACAACGACTTCTGGCACCTTGATCCCTCTACAAGGGAATGGACCCGTCTGGACTCGAAGGGCAAGGGTCCTCCAGCCAGAAGTGGTCACAGAATGACTTACTACAAGGTCAGTACCTATTCATGCCGGAAAAAACTAAATGGAAACTAATCAAAAGACAGAACTACATTATCCTCTTTGGAGGTTTCCAGGACACCTCCCAACAAACCAAGTATCTCCAAGACTTGTGGATCTACGACTGTTCCAAGTACACATGGTTCAACCCCACGCTTTCAACCGCATCCCAGAAGCCCGATCCTCGGTCTTCTTTCTCCTTCTTGCCGCACGAAAGCGGTGCCGTTCTCTATGGTGGATATTCCCGTGTGAAAGCGGCCACAGGAATCAACGGCAAGCCCGCCAAGGGTGGCGCTCAGCGCATGACCATGAAGCCCATGGTGCATCAGGACACCTGGTTCCTCCGGGTGACTCCCCCGGGACCTGAAGCTCCTGCCAATGCTGCGCCCACCGTACGCTGGGAGCGCAGGAAGAAGCCCGCCAACTCTCCCAATCCTCCGCGTGCCGGTGCCACTATGGCATACCACAAGGGACGTGGCATCATGTTCGGTGGTGTTCACGACGTCGAGTTGAGCGAGGAAGGCATCGACAGTGAATTCTTCGATACCATGTTCGCCTGGAACACCGACCGGAATCGCTTCTTCCCCTTGACGCTCCGCCGGCCTAGAGCCCCAGGCAAGAAGCAGCTCGCTAACCAGATGAAGTCCAAGGATCGGAGCAAAGCCGATGAGGAGGAACTTCTGCAGAACCTGAAGGCTTTAGAGGCTAAGAAGGGTATTCGCAACGAGGAGGACGACGAACTTCAGCCGGAGGCACTCAAGAAGGACGAAGAGCCTGAGCCAGAGAAGCCCGCGATCGTGCGCTTCGAGATGCCTCACCAGCGATTCAACGCCCAATTGGCCGTTCAGGATGATACCTTGTACATCTTTGGTGGTACTTTCGAGAAGGGAGATCGGGAATTCACCTTCAACGACATGTACTCGATCGATCTCGTCAAGCTCGACGGCGTCAAGGAGATCTTCTACAACGAGCCCTCTAACTGGCACCTTCTCAACGAAGCAGACAGCGACGAGGAGATGGATGATGACGAAGAGGAAGATCTTGAAGACGAGGAAGAAGAGGAGGACGCGATGTCGTTGGATACAGGTTCCCCCGCCCCCACGGAAGTGACCGTGCCTTCTGTCACTCAGGAGATGGAGAATCTGGAAGTGGAGGAACAAGAGGGAGAGCCATCTGTGCAGGACAGCAGACCTCTGCCTCGTCCATTCGAGAGTTTGCGCGACTACTTCAGCCGCACGGGCGAGGACTGGCAGCGTATCTTGTTGGATACTTTGAAAGAGAAGGGCATCGCCACAGAAAAGAACATCAAGGAGCTGCGGAAGGATGCGTTCAACATGGCGGAAGAGAAGTGGTGGGATAGCAGAGAAGAAGTCATGGCTTTGGAAGATGAGCAGGAAGAAGCTGGTATTGGGGAGGTTGTTAGCATTGCTGATCGGGGTGACAATGTTGGCGGTGCTGGAAGACGCAGGTGATACACATATACCTTGGATTAGAATAGAATGTTTTTGGCCTTTTCATAACACTTTTTTTGACATATTCCAGTGCTCTATCATTATTTATCCCCTTTATTTAGTACTCAGGCTTCGTCCAATTTGACCTTATTGGGATATGTGCTCGAGTAGTCTCAGCAACTTCAAGGTACTGCATGTTCTGGCAGTTCATGCGTTGTCTAGCACTGAGAATGAGTGGCACCTTTGTCACAAACGGAAATATACATCCGGGAACAGCAACTTCATTTAGTAGTACCACCTCAAGGACCAATCAATCTCTAGCGAGAGACCACTGGCACCAGTATGCAATAAATGCAGCGGTAGTGTTCAGCGGAAATGACTCCTTTTCAGCCTTTCTCCACATCTACATTTTCTAGTGGTAACATGTCAGGCCCTCCAAATCTACTTTGACGGCCTCAGTTATATGGCACTAAACCTAATCAGGTAACCAGCTGGTCATGACGGCATACTCCCGGACTTTACTCGTAATCGCCGGGGATGGAGGGACCTGAAGGAATTATCTCCGGAAGTCGAAGAGATTGGTGGCTGAGAACCGGAAGTATATAAGGAGTGGTTATTCTGCAATGGTGAGGGGTTTATGTTGTTGCAATAGCACCAGGGACAGCAGGGTGGCTGAGACTTTGTGAACCATACATATACTTCCATCAAAGTGCGGCCTTTTTTGTTATCATACTCCTCATCTGCTCCATATATCTGATCACTGCGCATATAGTATCAATTATAATTACCGACGATGCCGTTCCTCGCTGGGAAGAAAATAACTCAGAATGGGTTGGGGCTTATGCGTGAGTTTTCCCTCGTTTCCTTCTCTTTGGGTTCTGTTTATTTTAATCCGGAGGCTTGTCTGCCACTCACGCTGTCATTGTAAAAGCTCATATATTGATGAAAACATATCGCAGGTTTCACCCTGCCAAACGACGTGACGCCAGATGAACAAGCATTCAGAGTCCTCAAGGCAGCGCTGGCAGCCGGCGTCAACGTATGGAACGGAGCAGACTTCTACGGGACGCCCGACAGCAACTCATTGCACCTCATGAACCGCTACTTCACAGCTTTTCCTGAAGACGCAGACAAGGTAGTCCTTTCAATTAAGTCCGGCGTTGTGAGCATGAAGACCTTCACTATGGACTGCTCACCCGCGGGACTTCGCGGCTTCGTGGACAACGCTCTCAAGATCCTGGACGGCAAGAAAAAGATCGACATTTTCGGCTGCGCGAGGGTTGATCCCAATGTCCCGGTTGAAGAAAGCATCAAGGCACTGGCTGAGCTAAAGGAAGAGGGTAAGATCGGGGGTATCCAGCTGTCGGAGGTAAAAGCTGAGACTATTCGTCGTGCGGCGAGCGTTGCGAAGATTGATATGCTAGAGGCCGAAGTTAGCCTTTGGGCTACGGATGTTTTCCGCAATGGTGTCGCAGAGACGTGCGCGGAGCTTGGTATTCCCATAATAGCCCATACACCGCTGGGAGCGGGGATGTTGACTGGCACGATAAAAAGCCCTGATGACTTGGGAGCGCACGATCATCATCGGCTTTTCCCTCGATTCCAGCCGGATAACCTTGCGAAGAACCGCCTGCTTGTTGATGAGCTAGAGAAAATTGCGGCTGCGAAGGGGTGCACTCCGGCTCAGTTAGCTTTGTCATGGATTAAAGTGCAGAGCAGAAAGCCTGAATTGCCGCTTTTTGTCCCAGTCGCGGGTGCAAGATCTGAAACCAGGGTTTTCGAAAATTTGAAGGATGTCGACCTAAGTGACGATGATCTTGCAAAGATTGAGATCCTCCAGGAGAAATACCCAACCGCAGGGGAGAGATTTCCGCCTGCGGCTATGAAGTTGAACGAGTACTAGGCTGGGCAAATGCAGGTGGAACGCATTTGCACAGCTCCGAAATCAGATTGAGAAATCCTCTCTCCCAATGAGAAGCCACACTCTCCAGATATTCCGCGGCATCTGATAATCATTATGAAGCAAACAATCCAATGTTCTCTGCTGTGAGGGAGATTGCTTCACTTTCAAGAATTGTAATCGCTCCTGAATGGATAGCCTCGATTGAGCTGGCTTTGGAAGAACCTCTTTGGCCACATGTAGATGAAACAAGAGTGTAGCTGATTGGACATTGGAGACCTCATATAGAAGCATGCTGTGGGCGCCCTTACCAGGTATGGAAAGGCACATGTCTGTAGCAAGGAAATTTGCTCGGCGGTTAGAGTCATGAACTTCAGCCATGATCCAGGTGTCATCGGCGGAATCTCCCAAGGCCTGAGCACATCGATCACGTATAAGCTTCATTAGCTGAATGCGAAGAATACGGATGTTGTTCCAGCATCTTTGTGTATTGTAATCAGGATATATGTCCGGCTTGGTTGGCGGGATGCTTGGGGGTTCAGGACTCTGTTTTCTCGAGAAGAAAGAAGGCAGGTGCTTGGACAGTCGATCAAGTTCTGCGTCAAGTGCTTTGGCTTGATAAATTACATCTTCTGCGGAAGTGGAAGATTTCGCGGTGTACTCCAGCTGTGCATACCACATCATAACTTCCAAGAATCTCAACCTTAGTGACGATGTGTCCGCACCGGCTTCAAGAGCTTGTTGTCGCAATGCCAAAAACCGGGAAGGGATATCAACTTCATTGGCAAGGCAATCAAGAACAACAAGCTCAGTTAGATGCAAAAACATCGCAACACCCCCTTCGTCTGTAAATTGACCATTACCCCTCAAGACCATAAGCTCAACTGCACCTATCAAATGTCCGTTGCGAAAACATAGCGCTCCTTGTTCTACGTTGGCGAGCCGTTCAAATATGCTCATGAGCAACACCGAGAATAAAGTTCTATCCAACAAAACCTCTTTTGGTGACCGGATCGCGCCTTTCGAGTCAATGACAAAGCTAATCCATAGTTGTTTCGAGCATGATAGAGAGCTGGGGGCCATCCCTGAAGAGATGAGAACGTGGCCATGAAAAGCGCATGAATCATGGTCTCGAGAAGAGGATAGTCGTCTGATTTGGACGGGTAGAAGACCTTCATATACGAGTACATACCCGTTGCAGGTGTGTCTTGAACGTATTGTGAGATATATAGGTGCTTCGCGCGTTGTAAAATAGTCGGAAGAAGATTTGTTGATAGAGGCCCTGCAGAAGCTGGACGTTCTAAAGAGTGCTTCCTCAGTATTTTTTCTGCCGTAGCAGAGGACTCATTAAGTATGACTATATCTGTTAACTTCTGATATCCCGAGCACTTAAGACCAGCGCGGACACATTGGGAGCAGCCATCTTCCTTTTTATCGCACTATCGAGAGGTGTAAGCCTGGTTCAGTCGTCAAGGTGAAGAAGTAGAAGAAAACATCATACTTTGATATCACGTTTGCGGCATTCGCGGCATGACTTAGAAGGCCTCCCACGATATACCATTATGACGATGCAAAAGAAGCCTTTCCATTACGGCACCTGGCTGCTGAGGTTTATGGAATAGAGAAGAGCAGAATCATTTGTTGTTGCAGATGATCATGTCGGATTAGTCATCGCATATTGCCACTCATGGAATCTATGGACAAAGATATTGGAAAGAAAAGAAGAGTGCGTACAAGCTTTGTGGTGATAATCCTAACTAAAATATTTGAGAGACAGTGGTATTAAGTGATCCCTATCAAAGCTAAATGTTGATCTAGAGCTCATGCAATGTGAATGCCTCTTGTTTGTAAGAGCCATAAGTAGAACAACCCCAACCTTTGAAGTGCAAGCATTTGCATGATATTAAAACCCCGACTATACATCAAAAGTACCAAACATGGAGTATCGTAGCAGGCATTTAATCATTCTACAGTTTTCCAGCTACATTGTCCAGGACATCTGTCACAAGTGCAAAATCCCTTTCTTCTTCCACCCTCCAGTTTGAAATTGCGATCCGGCAAGCCGGTCTTCCTTGCCAAGAGGTTCCAGACACAAAAAGCTTAGAAGTCGCATTAATCTCCTTGGTGAGGTTGTTGTTCAGCTCGTCATCCTTTGCACTGAAGAGCACTATGATGTAGGTCTGGTTTAGCAAGTCATTTTTGTTTGCCAACTCTGGCAAAGCATTGTACTTGGGATGATCGTAAATCCACCCTGCAATCATTCGACTAAGCCGAACTTGCTTCTGTAGCATTTTTTGATACCCAACCTGACCATATGCCACAAGGGAGGCGTACACCGGCAACGCTCTGAACCGTCTCGAATTCTCCATACCGATGTTTAGTGGAGAAGGTATTGAGGCGGCTCCAGACTGCCCCCCAGACAAGTAAGCCGCATTCGCGTTTTGGAAAACCTTCTCAGCCTCACTGGGATGGCGACAAAGGACAAAGCCACAATCGTATGGCACGTTTAGAAATTTGTGAGCGTCACCTGCGATTGAATCTGCTAGCTCCATGCCTTCGCACCCCTTTGATATAGCAGAGAATTCAGCATCTTTGAGAATCCGGCCAAAAATCCCAAAGGCACCATCGACGTGAAGCCAAGCTCCGTACTTATCGCAGAGGCTACGTAGGCTTTCCATTTCAGCCAAGCTTGATGTCGCAAAGTGTCCAGTATTGACCTCCCCACAGGAGACAGCGACGATGCTCGCCTTATTGGTTTTCAGTTCCGCTTCAAGTCGTACCAAGTCGACTCTGAGGTAGTGACCGTCCCGACAAATGCTCTTGACGTTGGCACGGCCAATGCCGAGGATTCCGGCCGCCTTTGCCAACGAAGAGTGAGGCATCGTCGAGAGAATTTGGATACCAGAGAGGCCTGTGGCTTGGATTACTTCGAACAAGCCATACTCACCAACGCTTTCAATAGAAATTCCCCTCTTTTTGGCGGCAGCTCGAAGGACAAACTCCCTCCCGCAAGCCAATCCATGAACATTGCTGGCTGTGGCCCCAGTAGTAAACGTTCCATTGCTCCAGCGGTGCCGATCCAATTTTAGAAGATCTGCAAGAAGACTCAGAGCCGTAGCTTCGACATCTGTCGATATAGAATGATCCGCAAGGTGCACTTGAACATTCTGATCATAAGCCGTGACAAGATTGTCTGCAAATAGGGCGACCGGGGTAACGCCTCCAGTGACAAATCCGTAATAGTTGGGACTTATGCTGCTGCGATTGAAGGCTGGGACCAAGTCATTCAGGATATGCTGGGCGGCACTTTCAAATCCCGCTCCTTCGGCAGGGAGAGCCTTTGGTAGAGATGCTCTGGCTCTTGACAAATCACTAGCACTAGGCAGCACGTTTCCGGGGGTGTATGTCTGGTTAAGCTCCCAAAGCTTCTGATGTAATTGGCCCTGCTCTTGGGAGGTCTTCTTGATATCTCTTAGGTCCATTGCGTGAGGTGTCGCCTTAGAGTCAGTCAATGACTGAATTTGGTATACAACAAAGATAGAAGTGACGGACTGATTTGTATGACTGCTTGCACAATATCCAGCTCCAGTCTTATACTAGTAAGAAAGTTGTCTCGATGAGAATCTTATAGTAATTCCTGTAGTGGTTGCAGGTATTCGGGTTGATGAGCGTGACTCAGAATACAGTACCGGCTGGACTTGCTGTATGGAGGAGGGCCGTCGGTCTGCTGCGAGGATTTCCGAGACTGGGTCTGACAGTGCCAGTCAATTAGAAAAGCGTTATGGGGCAACTAAGGGAGTAAGTAAGTAGGCAGCATTAGTTATTGCAGAGTGTGGGTGTCAGCGCTAGTATTGTCTCTGACTTAGGTTGTGCAGGGAGCGAATGATAGGTGCGGTTATCTCCGAAGCGTGAAACTGCATAAGAAAAGGTGGAGAACTAATACTACTTATTTTGTTAAGGGGAGTCGAAACTGACGGGAAGCTTAATCGCGGCTCAACATACCGTATTGTGAAGAGAAGATACCGTTACAGTTTACAGCTTCTCCCAAAGCGGAGGCTAAATGACAGACCTCCGCCGGCGGCTGTTGGACCCATCTTGCCCGTCAAACCACCTCAAAACGCTTCATCGTAGGGAATTCAGTGCATTCGCAAGCATATAGACCCCATATCTAAGAGTGCCACGACAATGGCTGCTAAGTTGATCGATCGGCGCTTCCATAATATTCCCGGTGCGTTTGGCTTCCCAGGTTAAGGAAAAATGTCGCTAATGACAGGTGGGGTTATCCAGGCAGGCTTCGGGTGGCTGAGTTGTTCTTCGATGTCCCCCTCAATTACAGCAAGCCTAATGAGGGCACTTTGAGGCTGTTTGCCCGGAGTGTACGTCGCCTGGTAACGCCAGCTGAGCCAAGTGAGACCCCCAAGGACGACAAGCAGCTGCCGTTCCTGGTGTACTTGCAGGGTGGCCCTGGAATGGGATGCCGCCCCCCGCAAGAGTATGGCTGGATTGGAACAGTCCTCGAAAAGGGATACCAGGTACATAAACCCATCAAACTGTGACTACTCCTAGAGTGACCCTTGCTCATTCAACAGGTCTTGTTCCTTGACCAACGTGGCACTGGTCTCAGTTCGACCGTCACAGCGGGCACGCTTGCTCGGCAAGGCAATGCCATCAAACAAGCAGAGTACATGAAGAACTTCCGCGCAGACAACATTGTGCGCGACTGCGAGGCCGTTCGTCGTTGTCTTATGAGCGATTACCCCGAGGACAAGCGGAAATGGAGTATCATTGGCCAGAGTTTTGGCGGTTTCTGTGCCGTGACTTATCTTTCCATGTTGTATGTCTGGCCCCGTCTTATGATGGTCTCAGCCATATACTAACTCTTTATTTCTACTACAAGCCCGGAAGGTCTCGCTGAAGCTTTCATCTGCGGTGGACTTCCTCCTCTCGTCGATAACCCCGACCCTGTGTATGCACGTACATATGGTAAGCCATCTACTTTATCCATTTAGTGCATGGTGAGCTAAACCCGTACAGAAAAGGTCCTCGAAAGGAACAAGGCCTACTATGCCAAGTTCCCCGAAGACGTCGAACGAGTCAAGCAGATCATCCAATACCTGAAAGACAACGAAGTTGCTCTACCAACAGGAACACTAACCCCGGAGCGATTCCAACAAATGGGCATCCTGTTTGGCATGCACGGTAAGCAACCAATAGCTGTTATCCTCCGGACTTCCTACTAACATTCCACAGGTGGTCTTGACAGCATCCATGGTAATGGCCCCCAAACCGATATTTCTTACATTAATTAACACGACATAGATCTCGTGCTACGTGCCTGGAACGACCTGGACGTCTTCGGCTTCCTCACCCACCCCACACTCACCTCTATCGACAGTTTCGGCGGCATGGACAACAACATCATCTATGCTATCCTGCACGAGGCTATCTACTGCCAAGGGTGAGTATCATCAACTTTGCCTCGATAATCTCACGAGCTGACAATGTCCATGCAACAGCAAACCCTCCAACTGGTCCGCAGATAGATTGTGCGCCTCTAACCCGGACTTCCAAATCGACTCCAACAAGCCCGAAATCCTCTTCACGGGCGAAATGGTATGTCCCTCAGCATCCTACCTTTCCTCTAGAACAATCACTATCCCGGTGAATAATTGCTAACATCCCTAAAACAGGTCTACAAAGACATGTTCGACTCCTATACCGAACTTAGCCAGATTCGTGACGCGGCAGACATCCTCGCCTTGACGGATGACTGGCCGGCGCTTTATGACGAAGCCCAGCTGGCACGGAACGAGGTTCCTGTTTACGCGGCCACATACATAGACGATATGTATGTTCACTTTGATCATGCGCAGAACACCGCGGCCAAGATCAAGGGCGCTAAGCAGTTCATTACGAATGTCATGTATCATAATGCGATTCGGAGCAAGTCGGATGAGCTTATACAGCAGCTGTTTGCTCTGAGAGAGGATACCATCGATTAGAGAGATGATGTTTTTGGTTACTAAATCATGATGGTATTGTGCATAGATACTCCATATCTATATTGGTCATAAAGCCTTTTCCTCAGGTATTAACGAATGCACTCCTTTGGCGTGCTTGTACTAGATGGTGACTTTGACCAGAACATGTTTCAAGGAAAGCTGTATATACCCCTATTGATGCAAGGCCACAGATTACTTAGAATACCTGGTGATTGACTGTCAGTAAGGGCCTCCGGCTGGTGACAAAAACATGTGCCTGACTTACCGCACCGCCAATAATAAACAGCCTCTCCTCTTCTTGATGCACCCATTCTATTATCTTGCTTGCGCTCTGCGCCAATGCATTCCGGTTCGCATTTGCATTTGCAACGCAATAGAATTCGAACACTGGTGTTACCCATGCAAACGAGCTCGAGGATTGCGAGAGACAGTGGTGAATCTTGACGTGGGTATGCTTAGCATGGATGCTTGCATGTAGATTATTATAGGTGGACATTAGCCTGGAGACATGGCCATCGTCAATATTGCATGAATGTAATGGCATCCTCGGCGACAGCGAGAAATAAGGGGTTGTGCATACCTGCGACGTCGGGATACCGAGGAAAACTCCGGGTCATACGCGGACATGGTGAATTGTACATTGGCCCGTGACTTGTATAAGAAGTGATGCAGGACGGTCCCGGGAACTATGTCTGTTGTGCTGGGGCGGCCCTTGTCGACGGCTTCTCTGATGATTTCGAGACTGCCATTCTTTTCCAGTTGCTGTGATATGAAGTACTAGGTTAGCTTGCTGGTATGTTTTCACAAGAAGCATGGTCACAAACCTCTACGAATGCATCGCGCATGCCTTGCATCTCAAAGAAGCTTTCTTTATTGGCGCTTATCAGAATGATAGCAACAGACTCTTCTTTCGTGGTAGTATCGTCCGCAGTACTGCCAGTGTCCTCTCGAAGATCGAGGAAGCTGACATACATGTAGAGGTACCCACTGCTATTGAAGCCTGGTAGGCACACTGGAATCCAGCTCTCGCCACCGCCAGCTTTAACAGCTTCAGCTTCAAAGATCATGTTAAAAAGGAGCTGCAGATCGCCGGGGTGCAGAGAATGCTTCTTGGGCCGGACAACACTAACAAGCCGACCGCCTGCCACGACCAAGCCATAGAGAAGGCCGCTGACCTTAGTCTTCAGGAGAGTGTTGTTGATCGCTTGTCTATGGGATTTGCGAATCTTGAGGCATTCCAATGCGGAAAGTAGCGTGGATGGGGAGCCCTTCGTAAAGCTGTCGGCTAATGTGGATAGAAGTGTCTCAGAGCCTTGGAGTGGCCGTTTGAGGTCGGTAGAAGGGCGAATAGAGAAGAGGTGAGTTAAAGATGGAAGGGTCAAAGTAGACAATATTTGCATATATAGGGCTTCCAACTGGAGCTTGAGCTGAGTTTCACTCTCAAGCATGCGACTGATCGCAGCCAGGTACAATGGCCCCTTGTTGACCACCACGAACTTTGTATCACCGGCGGAGAAGCTGCTTAGACGGTCCTTAGAATCTTCATAGAACGAGATGATAGTCTGGATGACGCCAACATAGGTCGATATAAGACCACCATCACCATGTCGCGTCCATATCGGTTTGCCAGCAGCTGAGAGGATAATGTAGTGTTTCCGTTTCGACTTCCAATTTTCCAGGACCAGTTCTGCACGGTTTTGTTGGTTTAGCGATTGCAAGGACCGATATTTGCGAGCTATACACACCTTCGTTCTCCCCTTCTTCGCCAACGTCTCCCACTGGCTCAAACTCCGAAGCAAAATCGTCTTCGACGTCGTCGGCTTGGAATTCCGGGAATTGCAAGAGTCCCGTGTTATGCTGGCGGATAAGACCAGGCTCCGTCGCCAGAAAGTCACCGAAGACATTTTCGACGTCGCCTAGATCTCCTTGAGGTATGGAGCTCCTGATACTGGCAGTATCGCCAGCTTCGCTTCCTCTTGGGCTGGCCAAGTGGCTGAGGCTCGCCTTGGCCTTCAGCGCGCCTTGTATATTGCGTGCAGCGAAAGTATCCTTCCCGGTATCTTGAGAAGCAACATCTGGGAGAGATACCGCAGTCGTAGCCCTGGACTGCAGAGCCGGCTGTGCAGGCTGTCGCGGTACCCGGAGAGATGCCCCTCCTTCATCTAACAGATTCAATGTGCCCGGGCGCGGGG